GCTCCCCTAGGAGTGTGCACACGTAGCGCTCCCGTGGGTGGGCCTCTGTTGTCTGTGACCCTCCGCAGCCCCTGGCTGTGCTTCCAATTGGAGGACTGACCAACATGTGAATCTTGATGGCATCTTGTCTTCAGCAGTTGTACCACCTTCCTCTGCGTTGGCCACATGGTGTTTGTGTTCATCACAACATCAAGTGGATTTTTGGTGAATTGTGCCTTTTTGTGATCTTAAATCCATCCCTGTGCTGACCTGTGAGCGTCTGTGAGGTGCTGAAGGCTGCCTGGATGTGAGACGCAGACAGGCAGTACCCTCCACGCAGCAAGCACCTCGGCGTTCCCTCTGCAGCGTCTTCTGTCTGGTTTGTGCGAATGGAAACAAATGCCTGACCGTTCTCCATTTTCTTCTTGCTCACTGTCTCTGGAGATGAGCATACGTTCGGAAAACTCCGGAGGCACAGCAGGACAGTTCCCAGCTGACCCATGGGTTAGCCGATCGCCGAGTACCCAAGTTTCGTTGCGTGACCACCGCACATTCAAGTGTGTGTCTCATGCTTTGTGCGAGGCTGTTTCCGGAAGCCTCTCTGCTGGGGCCAGGGCTGGGAACGAAACAGGTGGTGATCCCAGGTGCCAGGTCAGACTGCACCCACACCCACGTGGATCTGAGGGTGATGCCACAAATTGCATATCTGAGAGGGAAGATTTTGTCAGATTTTGTACAGGAAGGGTACACTGTATTTTTAACCACTTCACATTGGTTATAAAAGTATTACATATGAAACATAAAGGCTTTTGACTAGGTAGCGTATGCATTATCCATGTCATAGCACTACTTATGAGAACATACTGCTTGTATGATGTCCTGTTTCCGTAACGGCAGATATAGCAGCAAGTAGATCTTTGTGAATGAGCCACTTAAGTGTATTCTTTGTTTATGATTTTGAGGATTTTTTCCCCTTTTCAGCCAGCGTATGTGTTGTGAAGGTGGACGGTGCCCCTTATCTTTGTAAAACTGACGAGATTGGAGAAATATGTGTCAGTTCCAGCGCAACAGGAACAGCATACTACGGATTGCTTGGAATCACCAAGAACGTATTTGAGGTTTGTACTTTTTCTGACTCTCATATGGAAATTAGGTCCCCTGAGCATTGATGGGGCCCCAGGTGTACAGGGTGCTGTGCGGGGAGCAGAGTCCTTGGGAGCAGGGTCTCCCCTGCAGGCCTCCAGAAGCTGTGGCAACACAGCCGTGCGCCTCTGCACCCGTCCTCCTGGAGTGGGGCAGGGCTGGTGCTGCCAGCCAGCGTGCGTCCTGTAATCCTGCGTGGGAGAAGGGCGTGTGGGTGTCACCTGGCGACTTGGCTGGCAGGAAGGCACTCAAGGCAGCCCCGGGAAGTAGCCCTCTGCTGCGTTTGCATTGTTGTGGTGCCAGCAAGGCCAGGCGCTGGGAATGCAGAGGTGAAGGATGCGGTGTCCTGCCTCGCTTGGGAGCTTACGGAACAGCTGTTGAAGGAAGCAGCCTGGGGAAGGCCAGAGCCTCCAGCCCTTGGGCAGCCTCCTCCCCTCCCCAGAAACATGGGTTGACCATCCGCGGCCTGATGCCCACTCCTCCTCCCCCCACTCTGCAGACTGTTCCGGTCACTGCAGGAGGGGCACCTGTCTCCGACAGGCCTTTCACCAGGACGGGGCTGCTGGGCTTCGTCGGGCCTGTGAGTATGCCCTTTTGCACTAGGGCTGGCAGCTCGGGGCGGAGGGGCGTGGATGAGGGATGCCTTGTTACAGTCGGGCCGTCCCTGATCTCCCTGCCCATCGCCACCCCGGTGTGCAGGGCCGTCCACACTTGTGGACCAGCCACAGACCCACACACAGGTCCTCAGTGGCGTCCTGGGGGTGGGTGACAATGTTTTGTTCTTTATGTGGGGTGCCAGGTTCTTGGGTATTCATTATAATGTTCTTTACCATTTTGGATGTCTAAAACATTTTAAAACAAATATTTCTGTTTGTAACATCTTGGACCTAGTGGCTCTCAACTGGGAAATCTTGTCCTCCACCTCCCCAGGGGACAACATTTTTGGTTGTCACAACTCAGGGGAGGGGAGTGCTACTGGCATCTGGTGGGTACCTGGAGGCTGGGGGTGCCACTCACCGCCTGGCAGTACCCAGGACAGCACCTGCCAGGGTGTCAGCAGCTCAGCATCCCTGACACGTGCCTTGGCCCAGGAGTTCTTGGAGTCCTTTACAAACCTCACCCACAACTTGAGCCGTGCCTCTGAGCCTTTCTCGTGCTGACGACCTCCCTGGCTGCCCCTCTGCAGCCACCCTTCTTCCCATACAGCCTGCCCACCCCGCCCTGGGTGAGGCTTCTTACTGGGTGTATGTTGCTCGTTTGGCTACTTTTTGTGAAGTGCTCGACGTTCCTGTGCTGTCAGCTCTTTGCCGTGGGGCCTGACCTGCAGTGCCAGCACCTGCCCTCGTGGGCCGAGTGCTGACCAACACCCTTGCCCTCAGGATAACCTGGTCTTCGTGGTGGGCAAGCTGGATGGGCTGATGGTTGTTGGAGTTCGCAGACATAACGCGGACGACGTTGTGGCCACTGCGCTGGCCGTGGAGCCCATGAAGTTTGTCTACAGAGGCAGGTGATGCGCTGCGGGTCCCTGTGCTATGGGTGTTAGATTCCTTCTCCGTTGAAAGTTTGAGAAATCTGTCTGCAGTGGAAGGAAGGCACAGTCAATTTGAATTAGAAGAACCTAGAGATTTCTGTACATTAGAAAAACTCATAAAGAGAAAGAAAAATATTCGTAGCAATGATACCGGAGTTAATGTCCTCCCTGTCCAAAGAGTTCATTCAGGCTAGGCGCGGTGGCTCACACCTGTAGTCCTAGCACTTTGGGAGGCTGAGCCCAGGAGTTTGAGGCTGCAGTGAGCTACGAAGACACCACTGCACTTGAGCCTGGGTGACATGGTGAGACCTTGTCTCAAAAAAAAAAAAAAGAAAACCAAAAAACAGTTCTTTAAGAAAATAAGGTTCAAATGTGTAATTGGGCAAAGGATCCAGGGGACAGATGAAGCACAGAGGGGAAACGTGAGCAGAGGAGAAACGTGTCCAGGCTCCTGAAAGCCATAGAAGTATAGATGAAAACAGAGAAGCACTGTTTCCTCTCTGAAATCACCACAGGCTGATTCTTTTTTCTACTAAGGTTCACTGAGACGTGCATAATACCCTACCTCGCTGCTGGAATAAAAACCAATTGAACTTTTCTGCGTGTGTTAAGCAAGGATCTTAGAGATTGTCATTTCCTTTGAGCAAATAAACGGACCTCTGGGCCTGTGCCACACGACATAGCAGCCAGGAGGGGATTTTGTTCCTCCTCCTCCTCCTGAGTTCTGTGTACGAGGAATTTCTTCTAATTGGTCCACTCAGCCCCCTTTTTAAATTTTATTCTTCTTAAAGGGGTGCTTGTTACTCAAATTAGGGTACCTGTGCGGCAGTTCACTATGGGCTGCTGGCCCTCCAGGGCATTCCTGAGGAAAAACCCCAGAGGGTGAGTGGCAGGGACATGAGATACCCTCTTAGGGAGACCAGCAGGCAGGCTGTGTGCCTGTGTGCACATGTGTGTGTACATGCGTGTGTGCGTGTGCATGTGTGTGTGTGTGTAGGGAAAGGGTGGCCACACCCCGGGGCCAAGAATATTGGCATCATGAAATAAGATCAAGAAGTCCTAACAAAGTAATTATTTAAACAAGGAACACAATAGATGGGATAATAGAATGGATATGGCTAGAGAACAAGCTGAGACAGTGGAAAGTCAGATCAAGGAACTACTCCAGAAGTAAAGAAATAGGAACTTAAGAGAACTAGTTAGGAAATGGGAGAGAAGGGGCCACCCAGACAGCAGATGCGGGGGTGAGGTGGGGAGCGGAGGAGGGGGAGAATCTCTGGGTGGGAGACAGGTCCACAGAGGGCCCCAGGGCACGTCAGGTCTATCGACATTCTCACAGTTCACCACAGAACAACCAAGCAGAATGCATCAGACTGCCCCACAGTGGAGCTGTGCGGGATGACAGTGCAGAATTCAGTTTTATATTCACCCAAATTGTGCAGTAATAAAAAATATTCTCAGGCATATAAATACCAGAAGTTCTGTCACAAAAAGATCTGTATTGAAAACGCTTTTGGTTAAAGTACTAAAAGAAATAAATTCAGGAATGTGAGATACATGAGAGTAAGGAAAACTCAATAATGGTAGAAGTCTGTTGTTTAAAGCGTGTGTGTGTGTGTGTGTGTGTGTGTGTGTGTGTGTGTGCAGGTGTGTGTGTGTACACCAGCCAAAGGAGAGAGCAAGAGAAGGTGTGTCCACGATGGCCGTGCTGACCTGACAGCTTAGCTGGGGAGACCGGCTTGTTTCGTAAGGGAAGGGTAGAGAGATCAACTCGAAGTATAAAAGAAGGAAAAGGCAACACAGAAAGGAGGACATGTTGAAATTATTACAGCAAGATGGTAGAAGCAAGTCCAAGTAATAGCAGTCACAATAAATAGGAATAGATCAATGATGGTGAGAGATTTAACCTGTCGAATTAAAAAATATAATGAAACTATTGGACAAAGATTTGTGCACGAAGAAGTATATGGCATATATTAACGTTAGATTAAGGAAACTTTAACAGCCCATTCTTCTAACAATGTGTGCCTGGCTGTTCGCTTTGCATCGAAGTGCTCTCCGTTTTTGTGAATTGAAACTTCCTTTAGCCACACTCAGAGGTTAGAACAGCTGGTTACTTGTGGGGCAAGGAGCCCCATTTATTAGACTGAATTTTAAATAGTAGTGCAGCCTGTGTCTCCCATGGCCATTCCCACCGTCTCCTCCCTCAGGATCGCCGTGTTCTCCGTGACCGTGCTGCACGACGACCGCATCGTCCTGGTGGCGGAGCAGCGGCCCGACGCCTCAGAGGAGGACAGCTTCCAGTGGATGAGCCGCGTGCTACAGGTGGGCACCCGGGGGCAGCCTGCAGTGCCCCGTCCCTCTGAGTGCAGAGTGCCGTGCCTGCTCCACCCAACCTCCCTGTCTCCACCTTGTTTTATTTTTAGTTTAATTTTTTAAATCATAAATTGATAAATTATAGTTGTATACATTTATGGGGTACAAAGTGATGTTACGATTTATGGACACAATGTGAAATAATTAAATCAAGCTAATGTATCCATCACCTTAAATACTTATTTTTGGGGGTGACAACATTTGAAATTTACTTTTAGTACAATGCATTATTATTTACTACATGCATCAGTCTGTGCAGTGTACCTCAAAGGGAAAAGAAACCTTAGTCCTCCTGTCTAATTGAGGCTTCGGACCTTTAACCATCATCTCCCCATTGCCCCCGGCCACCAGTAACCACGTTTACTCTCTAGGCACAGATTTATGTACGTGTGTGCACAAACCTGGTGCGTGCGTCCCCCTTTCTGCGTTAAATGGTAGGAAACTGTATGCACTCCTCTTCATCTTGTTTCCTCATTTAACATAACGCCAGAGTCTCCCTCTAGGTGGTGCTTCCTAGCGTCTCGCCAGCCTCAAGTGGTGGCCGGTGCTCAGCAGGGTCCTTCCCTTCCAGGCCATCGACAGCATCCACCAGGTGGGCGTGTACTGTCTGGCCCTGGTTCCTGCCAACACCTTGCCCAAGGCTCCTCTGGGAGGGATTCACATTTCTGAGACCAAACAGCGCTTTCTGGAAGGGACGCTGCACCCGTGTAATGTGCTGATGTGCCCGCACACCTGTGTTACCAACCTTCCCAAACCTCGTCAGAAACAACCAGGTTAGTCTCTCCAGCCATGAAATGGAGAGTAACTGTGAGCTTGGTCGGGGAGCCGCCCGTTAGCCCCACAGCGGTAACTGCCCATGTCTTCTGAGCTGGGTGAGAGCCAGAGCGCAAGTGCTTGCCAGGTTGGTTGCTGCCTCCTGCCATCCTGGAACCAACCGAGCCACAAATGAGAGAACTTTACCACCTCATCGGTATGGGGGTTTCTACTGCCAGTTCAAAGCAGTTTTAATGATAAATTCCAGGACGCTCAGGGACAGCATCTTGGCTTTGGCTCAGAGCAGACTTGGAGCTCTGGGATCTGGACAGCCCCTGTCGGCCGCTGTGCCGGGCAGCTGGCCACACCTGTTCTCAGGAGCCAGGGCTCGTCTCCACCCTGGGAGCTGCCACAGACCTTGGAGGTCTTTTAACAAAGGGTCAATTTCCCTTCCCTGACTTCAGACATTTAAAAGTTAATTTTAAACACTGGTTTAACTAATATATGCAATTTTTCATTCTTTTGGTTATGTAGCTTTTTAGTACATGCTGACTTTTGCTAATTACCAAACACTTAAAATATCACTAAATACATTCTACTAGGAAGATTTAATTTCCTGATTTATACATAAAATACAATAAAACAATAAACTATATTAAAAATTTGGCCGTGACTGAGGCCAAATCATAACCCCAAGATGTCTGTCATATAGTAAACTTCTTAATATGTTATGGCTTATATTTAAGACAGAAATTCTTTGTCACTTAGTATAAACCTTGTAGTTTGTTTTCTGAATACTTGTATCTTAGTAGAAGAGTTAAATGCCTAATTCAAGTAGGCTTTCAAAATAAAAAGTGTGATGGAAATGAGGTCACATGATGACTAAACATTAGAAGTCAGCAGCTTCTCATCCAGATCCCCTGTTTCTAGAGGTGGGACCAGCCTCAATGATTGTGGGGAACCTGGTTGCTGGGAAGAGGATTGCGCAGGCCTCTGGGAGAGAGCTCGCCCACCTGGAGGACAGCGACCAGGCTCGGAAGGTGACAGGCCCATTCCTGGGGTTGGGCGTCGAGACCCCCATGTGGGGCTGCCAGTGACTGAGCTGCCCTCTCTGCACAGTTCCTGTTCCTGGCTGACGTGCTGCAGTGGCGGGCCCACACCACTCCTGACCACCCGCTGTTTCTGCTGCTGAATGCCAAGGTGAGGATGGGCTGCTGCCCGTGGGCTGGGGGCCATTGCCGGTCCAGTTCCTATTTCAACGTTCTGGTTATTGTCGTGTTCAGAAAAGAGTGTGCCTGCACTGTCTGGGGCAGTCTCTCTGCCTGCCCTCTTCCCTGTGGAGCCCTCGCGTTCCGCACAATTCACACAAGAGTTTCTCTCGATTTTGTATTTAGCGGGACAATTCTGATCAGCTCCAGCTTTCTAAATTAAGACCAGTATACATGTAAATACTTCTAAATCCTAGCACTCTGGGAGGCCAAGGCGGGTGGATGGTTTGAGCTCAGGAGTTTGAGACCAGCTTGAGCAAGCGTGAGACCCCGTCTCTACTAAAAAAATAGAAAGAAATCAGCTGGACA